CCCAAAAAACACCAAATAAGGCTATGTTTCCTGCCCGACATACAAGGAAGTGTCCTTTCATAAATGGTATTTCAAATTAAAATAGAAGAACTTTACGAGTTCAGAGACTGAAGTCCCGTTTTCAGAGATCCAGAAGAAAAAAAAATCTGTCATTTTTAGCAGCGTCAGACCTGCTAAAGCCCAGGAATGAAATAATGACTGCTTGTCGTGTCTCCTGTCACAGAAATAAGAATCTAAATCCTATTTATCTCTCTCTTTAATCCTGCTCTGGTTTTTCTTTGGTCAAATATTTTTAATTTAATTGTAAACAACTGTTACATAAATTTCATTTAGCGGTCGCGCACCGCTACCCCCCACCGTTGCAAGTGTCAGATGCGTTTCTGAAAAAAAAAGGCATTTTAAAATGCCTCAAAACTTCAGTTAACTTCATCTTAATATTGTTGTGCTATATAAAAAAATTAATAGGCAATTTATTTTATATTAATCAGTTTATGCTGTTAGTTTATTACATTTAAAATCTAATTCCAATTCAAACAGAAAAGTGTCTTGTAAACATAATTATGGGGTGTGATTTATTTTCAACTCGAAATATGTTCTAACTAGTGAAATATAAAGTTATTAGTGAAGAAAACCCGTCTGGATAACAGCAGACTGACTGCTCGTAAAATATACGACAGGTCTGGACCACTCVTGAATTTTGTTCGTATCTGAAGAAAACCTTAGAATACGAAAACATTGGTGAATGCCACAAATTCTCCTAAATCACTCGTACGTACAACTTAAGAACAAATCTGTGCGTACGAACGGTTCTTGCATGAGGCCCATTGAGTTTAGTGTGCATTATTCATTTGCTGCCCTGGATGATGGGAATGTAGTTGTGTATCTTGGACTTCTGTCTCTGTGTGACACACTCGGCGATCCAGACGATGTTACGGATCTCCTGCTGCTTCAGTTTGAAGTAGGAGTAAAATACACCAAAGTTGTACTGCTGCAGGAATGTAAGTACATTCAGTTTCACCTGTCAAAACCACAGAGAGGAAGTTAGTTTTAAATGCATTCATAATAAAAAAGGCAAAACAGTTCAACCTTTTTAACTGTGGTATCAGGACAAAACAAATACAATTTAAGCCTCAGATTTCTAAAGGATTAACAGCTAAAATGCCAGCCATGTTTATGTTAAGTGATTATCATCAGTGTGAGCACTTGAGTATACGAGTGTTGGCWTGACACCAAGCAGGGAAAACATCAGCAATGACCTTGGAGAAGCAACTGTTGCTGCCCATCAATCTGGGAAGGTTTGAAAGTTATTTCCAAACTGCCAGCATTTAGAGTYCATCATTCTGCTGTGGGGAAAATCCAAGCAAATTCAAGATTCCATGGAACGGCTCGCGCATTGCTCAGCTCAGTGGAGTCTGCAGGTCTCAGTTAGCAAGTTATATATATATACAGTGACACGTGTCAACACGTATCGATACAGTTTGGTAATGTGTCGAAATGACACATGATGCCTCATCTACCCATCACTACAGCTGACTGTGAACAACCCACATCTTTAGCAGCAATGCATGAATTTACCTTCTTCAAGAAGTTTCACAATCCTCTCTTTTGTTTCAAGAGACATTTCTCTTGTTGG